AGCCCGTAGTTGTTTGAAACCCCACTCCCTATGCATCCGCACATCACCCTATATATCCGCTGCATCCCAAAAACCACCCCTCAACAGGACCTTCTGAGTTCGAAGCTCCGTAATAAAATAGTAACAATAATAGTAACAATAATAGTAACAATAATAGTAATAATAATAGTAACCATTATTCCAAACGGCACCAGGGCTTGGACTTTCGCGCCCCTGACCCAAGGCTGCCAAAAAATCACACTCCTCCGAGCTGAGGAAGTCCTGGTTCAGGATATAGTCCCCCTTAAGTAGATAGAATATTAGGTTTATATTGGGGTTATATAGGGATAATGGAAAAGAAAATGGAAACTACCATTTAGGGTTTAGGGTTTAGGTTTTAGGGCTAAAAGTCCCCCTTAAGTAGATAGAATATGGCTTTGGGTATAGTATGATGAGATCCCCATATGCCCCATATTCTATCTACTTAAGGGTACTATATAGGGTTGAGGGTTTAGGGTTTAGGGTTGGGGCCATACCTTAGGGACTAGCAAAGGGTTTTCTCAAAACAGGGATATCGCCCGGGTAGTGATTTTACGAAGCATTCGTGTCAGCTGGAATAGTAGCTATGGGGGATCTAGGTCGTGGATCTAGGTCGTAACATGCTTATGACTTGGATGTTTGCCATGGCTAGGATCCCAATTACGGATTTCGCGGAACTCTACGCAGGAGTTTGTCACTGGTCAGGTGCCCCCATAAGGCAATTTTGCCTGCCTCCATACCTTTGGTCCTGCCTCACTAAATTAATTACAACTACCCAAACCCGACTATACACTATATACCCATATTATTTTACTACTATATAACCATAATTGCAACTACCTTAACCCTTAACCCTAAACTCGGCATTTTTGCCCAGACCAGACGTCCTCGATGAGATAGACATTGGGCGCCTTCTGGGACACGGTTCGGATGTCACCCCTGTCACATGCATCAACCAAGGCACTACCAGGTGCTACACAACATCATTGTCCCATTCAGAGAACAACATAACAAGCCACACAATAACTGCAAGAGGAACTTGGCTGCAACAATCATCAAGACATTGATAGGCGTGCGCTGGGAGGCCTTGAGCCAGCGACTTTGTCTGGTGCCAGGGGCACACCATCAAACCCTAAGTTGCCACAGCACTGAGGGTTCCAACACAAATCCTCTTTAGTCATGAGGATGCCCCAGTAGAACTGAGCCACAATCCGTGAATCTCAAAGCTTCTATGAATTCCAGTACTCCGGTGCAAGTGAGAGCCCCGGGGCTGGCGCTAACTAGCATTTTGATGCTCGTTTTGGCTAACCTTTATGCTAGTTGTGCTCAACACGGCGGTCATGAGGATACGCAAGACATCCAGCAATTCGAGTACCGGCTACTCTACATCACCGCTCCAAAAGTTTTGACTTGCTGGGCTATTCTTCATGTAGAAGCCTCCTCTGTGTCTTGCGGAGTCGCGGAGGCCTCTGATGTGTCATTTTCCCTGGCCTTGCTAGCGGAGTCGTACCTACCCCGCTCTAGATTTATAATACTTTAAAGCTTCGGAGGAGGCCCTACAGGACGCCAGTGTATGAGTCTAGGGGCGAGGAGGAGGCTGAGTTTTGAGTACATGCAGGAGTCTTCTTGCAAGTACGTCCGTGAGTCGAACTTTTGTAGCACCGCAGTAGATTCCCACGGTAGTTGCACCTCCTGTGATGAAGAGCCCTCTTCAATACGCTTCGGCGGCCGCATACAGACTTTCAGCTGAACATCTGAAGATGCTCTTTCATGTGCTTCGGCTTCAGGACCCTAACAGAATCCATCTCATTCGCTGATTCCCAGAGACCTCAGAACCGAGGCAGCATTCAGAGGACGCGCTTTTTCATTCTATTCGCCCCACTGTTAAGGGAACCCCCTGAGATTCAAGAAGATGTGGTTACAGGGGAACCACAAGATCCCGGAAACAAGAGGGCCAATTCTGGGCCCTTGTGTGCTGCAATTCTTGTGACATGAACCTGCCTGTTCGCAGTCCCCATCAGAACCAAAAGGAGGGGGCTAGGGTTTAGGGCCAAACCTGAATGACTGGGCCACAGACTCAGATCAAGAGGATGCACAAGTCGCTGGTAAGGTGCATAGCCTGAACTTGCAAGAAGCGTTGGGCACAGGTTCTGCGCTTGCTTCAAGACCTGCAGGTCAAAACGCGGGAACATCTGCGCATGCTGTGTGTCCAGCAAAATGCAGGAGCCAAAACAAAAGTAACGGGCACAGTTGACCTTGGGAGAAGCAGGAGGATGGCTGCTCTCCGTTGAACCTATTGGCAGCAAATATCACAAAGGAGCTGCTGATCCCAGCAAGTGTCAGAAGTCACAGCTAAATCATTGGCCGCCAACAGCAATCACAATATGAAGATCCGCGCAGCACGGTGCTCTCAAGCTAGCCGACCGGACATTCATTGTTATTTCAGGCAACTGCTGGCATGGAAATCGGATGCATGTTGCCATGTCTTGCTCATCATGACACAAACGCGAGGAGCAGCATGAGGAGGAGAAGGAGGACGACGACGACGATTTAGCTCAGTGGAAAGGCACATGAGGTGGCTGTCAAGCAACGAAACCAGCGCTGCGCGATCCATTTCTCGCCTTGGCTCGGGCAAGTGAGAGCTAACGTTGCCCCATGAAGGCAAATACTTTAATCTTTGACAAAGCACGAAAAATGCCCTTAATCCTGAGCTGCTGGTGAGCATGTAACACTCATTCATGGTTTGACAGCCCCGTGAGTAACAAGCACCGCCCTCAAGATTTGCACCTGTGGCCGGCAGACATGTGCGCATGATCCGCTCTTCCTTCACTGTCGCTGTACACTTCGTGCCGAATGAACCCTTAATTCCAAGACTCACATGTTTGGCTTCTCGGTGCAACATCTGCAGCATGAATGTCCGTCATTTGTATTAAGGTGTCTGCTCCATCTGGGGGTTGCTGTTTTCGAATGCCAGTGCTATCCAAACAAATTCCCTGCCTTCCCCAACCCCCCAAGGTGCCTCGCTTCACAGGACACGCAGCATGCTCGGCCATGCGATCTTTTCGCCCTGCCTCATGCACTCAACAATGGCGCCTTCTCGCCACTTTTTTTTTTGTGCAAAGTTTGCTTTTGCAGTGCGGATACAGTGCATCTGTCCACTAGCCACATGTGACTGGCACGTGAAACGACATGAAAGGACACCTCGAAATTGGATCTTCCCACCCTGTCTGAGGTTGAAGCCGGGTCATGGTTGAAGAACCTGAGCACATCATCTCCTGACTGATGCTGGCAAGCTTAGAGCTAGCTTAGAGGAGCTCCATTGAACCAGGCATCTGCTTGCACACCCTGACATCTCTGTGAGCAGAGGCAGGTGCAGCACTGCCCGGCCCTTCTTGGGCGAGATGCGGAAGAGGTCCTCCCGTGCCTCGGCTGGCTGAGGAGGTGGTCCCGGTGTTGACCATGGCGGACATATTGCAGTCAGTGGCAATGGGGAATTTGGAGGTGCTGGTAATCAGGGTGAAGCAGCAGCGCTGCTGTTATCCATGTGCTCAAGCCTATGTTACAGCGCAAGGGATGCAGCTGCATACGATTCCTTATGTCAAATACTATACCCCAAAAGGAGGATATAATCGTACGTTACATTGGGTACCATACTATCCCCGGTTGGGCGAGTCCAAAGTTTGGAGGCTCCAAGATGAAGTAAGTTCCCGACACAGCAGTTACTGGCTCCAAACCTCAGTGTCCGGGCGGTATAGATTCGGTGCGCTCCCTCAGCCTTCCGAATCTTTGTAGAGAATTTGTAGTTGACGTGCCCCTGCAGAAACTGATTCACGAGCTTGATTGTGCAGACTTGGCAGGCTAGAGGCACATTGCTGCCGTCTGCTGCCACCCTCCATTGCATGGTGCACTCCTCTCGGTTTCCTCAGTCGATGGCACGCACTAATCTCTGCATTGCTTGCGAACACAGCGTGGTTACGCAACGGCAAATTGAAGTGTTTGCTCAGATTGCTCTGATGCCGGCGGGGCACTATATAGTAGTCTCCATTTTCTTTTCCATTATCACTATGGTTCAAGCCGTTCATGCCTGGGAGGCATACCCTGGATCTGCTTGCAACAAAGCATCGCAAAGGGAACAAGGTCTCGCCTCCCTCATCTACATCACTGAGATACCTCCAAGGCAGTACAGTGTCTCTGACACATTCAAGTACCTGGATGGTTGTCAAAATTATGATCCCTTTTTGGGTACCCTAAATATTAGGTGCCGTGTTATAATAGGGATCCAAAAAGGGACCATAATTTTGACAACCACTCACCTAATACCCAAGGACAACGGCCCCTGGGGGCGGGGGGCGGCACACGATCAAGGTTGCCGGACCTAAGCAGCATGTGAGACCAGGGGGAGGGGGAGGAACCCAAAACTGCAATAATGGAGAAGAGAATGGAAACCATAGTATATCGGGGTTATATGGGGATAATGGAATGGAAATTACTATATGTAGTGCCCCACGGGCATCTGAACAGTCGCGTATTTTGAAAATGTGCCTTGAATCGGGATTGCTCAGATGCTGTAATTAGTCCGCCCACAATGGACTTCCATTGCAATGGTTCTGGATCTTAACCAGGGAAGACCATAATACCAACACAAGCAACGATACAGCACTAGTAACGCTAAGGTAGCCATACGACCATGACAGGCAAGGATCACAGATGGCATGGTACGCAAGAAAGACCTTGCAGATTAAAGGATGGTTGCTTCTGACTCCCGAAATTTGCCGCCCCCTTCTAAGGCCCACATGAGCCCATAGTCCCAAACGCGTCCAAACTCTGCATTGATGCATGGAATGCTCGGGCTTGGGCGAGCCACATCATTCCTGAAGCAGATGCTGTCAGCAAGCCGTGCTTCTTCCTGAAACAGCTACAACCTGCATGTACCCGCACCTCAAGAAAACGAAGTCTCAGCAGTTGCCGCCATGAACCGTTGTTCATGGCTCTCTGCCGTGCGATCCAAGTCGCTTTGGATCTGAGTCCTGGTGCGTCTCGTACTTCTCACCGATGCCTGAGCAAAATGTGCTGAACGGTCACGCTAAAGATCCAACAGCATCAGGAAGTGGTTAGAATGTCACACTCGCTATAATACGTAGAGCAGAGAGACCTATCAGATGTGAACATTAGTCTGCCTCAGCTTTTCTAGTCTTGGCCTCTCAGCCGCAGGGGAGTTATAAACCAATTGGGTCACGGAGCTTCATCACAGCAGCTCCTTACGCACTCCCCGCTCCTCCGACAGCTGACAAGCAAGAAGCCCCATGAACCTGCCGTGCTGCACAAATGCTACGAAAATCCCTGCAGGGCCCGGGCCATAGTGACCTGCGACAGGGGGTTGCGGGCTTAGGGTTTAGGGTTCAGGGTATATAGGGTTTAGCCTTCATCCTTCTTCCGTCCGGGCTCTCACACATTCTGGCAGAACCGGGAAATCATAAACCCCAAGTGTAATGTAGAAATTCTGGACCAAGTTTTTGACGTGCCTTGATATGATTCATTATTTTGGCCAGCGTGAAGCAGACCACTGTACATCCTGGTTATCCAAAGAAACCGGACAAAATCTACATGAGCAGAACCACGTGGCTCTTTCAAGGGCTGCCCCTGAACTGGCTGTCCATCAGCAGTGAGAAGTACCAACTGGTCGCAGTCAACCCCAAGATGAAGACTCGACGGAGGCCGGTATGCCGGTATCCCTCAGATACCCGTTTTGCCAAGATGTGCAACAGCCCGCCAACAGTTGAAGAGGATGCTCCACGCACCTATTTGAAGCGCTTCTGCGTCGTCGTCAGGAATGCGAGCAGCCCGGTGCATCCTTTTGAGCAGATGGAAGACTTCCTGAGCAACTGCTGCCGTATGCAAAACATACATAGGCATATATGCACATATGTCTAGACTTACACACACACACGACTATCTATGTTGTATATAAGATGTAATGACACCTATACTGTATTCGACTGTGGTACGCACACTACCTACTATACGACGATAAAACTCCTAAATGTATCTATATATCTATATATACACACACGCATGTACCCGGTTTCTTACACAATGCACCACTGTTGGTGGAGCTGATGTGCTTGAATAAGGCCCGGGCTGGGATATTTTGCTCCTGAGAGTAGTTCAGCCAAATCTGCCGGTTGTTCCTGACGCTGACCTTGCGCTGATGGTAAGTTGTGGGATCCCATTCTACAATCCCACTCTCCCTCCCCTCAAACAGGCCTCCTAAACTGGCCTCAGAACACAACTAACAATCACATTTTTGGGTTGTTCCTTGTTCCTGGGATTATGGTAACCAAAAATTGAAGATTATTTTGGAGGCCCCTATAGCGTCAAATAAAGCCGACTTATTTGCATTTACGCCCCCTCTCGGGGAGCTTTAAAAATTGTGGTTGTTGTGGGGGGGGTCTCGTGGCTGCACGTGCTTCACTATAGCACTCAGAAACATCTCAAGCATAGACCACAGAAGGTGAGAAAAAAAGCAAAGAGTGGCCACCACGTATGTAGAAGTCAAGTGCCATCGGATGCTCGCTAGAAACTCGCAGACCTTCGCACGAAAGAAGCAACCTTGACAAAAGAGCCAACCAAAAACAAAAAGTTGGCCCATGTTGGCCTGTCCAAAGAATTCCATTCAAACGGCTGCCTGCTCGTCATACTGGTTGTCAGCCTTTTGGACGACTTTGGCTGGCTCCAGCCTCCCAGCCACCTGTTACTTTTTGGTGCTAAGAAGATATTGGTTGAACCCTGTGCCCCAATACCCCAGCCCCTAAGTCAGGAGCCCCATTGGAGTCATTAAATTTGGGGAGCGGGGAGGGGGGGCATTCGGGTGACCAACATCCCTTTGTTGTTCTTTTTGGGAATTCCAGGAAAAAGGTTACACATGACTTCACCACCGTATTTGGCGTTCGCATGATGAGAACACATTCACCACAGACACGATAACAACAATAATGCGTAGTGGTAGCTGCCCGTTCTGGTGATAGTGATGTTCCAAATTCAACTTATCAATGAAACCCACATGTTGAACTTTCGATCTTAGATCTGGTATAGCAGATCGACACCACGCATACCAATGAAATGATCCTCGACAAGCATCAACACGCCATGCATCTCTACACTTCAGCGCTTTAAGGGGTACGTGAGGTCAGGCAAATCAAGTGTGGGGCCAATCATCAAGCTTGGATCAAGGCTCGGAAAAATGCTGCAAACCCTGGGGAATTAGACGCTGATCATGCTGAACCCTGATATTGCAAAACAGCAAAAAGTTAGTGTCCACATGTCTTGTTCCTGTCTTGCCTGCTGCTTCAGGAATTCGCATTCTTGCTCGCTGAGGAAGCTGTCATGTACCTGTATCGGTTGGCCGCCACCAGTGAGCAAGAATACGCAGATTCGACCAAAGGCGCACGTAGACTCGAGGAGACTGCAGTGCAGCCTCGCAGCGCTTACTCAGTGCCCGCCTTGCCTGCGTGAGATTGCTAAGTTTGCCAAGGCCACTGCCTGCCATTCACCTCTCTGCGGAGATGCCAACAATTGCAGGGCAGGCAAAGGCCTAGAAGATGTCTGCAAATAAAGGTGCAAATTGTCTCACCCGACAGCTCACGAAAGCTTGCAACATGATGAAATCTGAGAGCGGAGCTGGACCAGTGGCAAGGGGTCAGCGGCATGCTCCTTGCCTTGAACTAGATTCTCCACCCGCGCTGCCGGAGTTGCCTCGCCTCAGAAGTTCCATGGTGTATAGAAGCTCACACGAGCACGAAATCAATTGACCAGCTTTGTCTGAGTGGCCTTGAAGACCAGGTCGGAAACGCACAGCCACGAAAACTGCGGCTGCCACAACCGCCGCGAGTACTGCAAAGAAACAGAAGGCACTTTCTGCTAGTAGGCAACATCTGCAGCATTCAGGCCTGCGCATGCGGCCAGGGCCGCCTAGCAACATGTCAAAGTCAAAGTGCAACGGCCGGCGACTAAAAAGGCAAGCCGCAGGCTACGACAGGACTCCGATGATGACAACCTAACCCTGCTTGTAGACATGATCAACTGGCTTTACCCACCCAACAGTTTCACCTGTCATGCCAGGCCCACGACCTGTTTGCTGAGCGCACCAAATGCCATGCCATGAGCAAGCTCTCTGCTTGCTGATCTGGCTGTCTTGCACCAGCTGCTTGGGCTCAGGATTTAAGTCTGTGTCCACTGCTCTTGACTTAGGCAAGAATGAACAGTTTAGGCCCTGAGGCGGTAGAGGCTCGTTGCTGCTTGCACAATATTGTAAAGCATCGACAGGCTCAATGTCCAAATCTGCTAAATCCAGGCCACCTAAGAAGCCTATGACTGCGATCCCTGGGATGTCCTGCATGCACGGTTGGCTGTCTTGGGCATAGCCTTGCTTTTCTAGCGCTTCGAACCATCAACCCCAAGCGGCAAAGGATTGATTCTTGGAAACCAGCTTCAATCTTGCCAAGCCGGCAGATGGTGTTTGCTACCAACCGCTCATTTGCATGCAGTAATTACTATTACTACTATTGCTATTATTATTACTATTATTACCCGTATGGCAACTAGCTCCTGTCCTGTACTGGCCCGCAACCCAGGTCTGCAGCCATGAGCCATGCCAGTTTTCCTGCCGTCAGGCTCCAGGAAGGCCCCACCCCTCACCCGAAAAGGTCGAAGTCCATTTCTTCCTCGCAGACACACCCCCGTCATCTCACACATTGCTTGCTCGGCTCTCTAGCAAGATTTATGCTCTCAAAACAGTACGTACTGCTTTCCAGCGGTCCTCTTCCTCCTCTTCTTCGACCTTCTTCTCCTCCTGCAATTGCTGCACACGGTCGATGTGAGCGCAGGCACGAAAAAGAAAATGCAGAGTCCAAAGAGTGCTTCGGAAAATGGATGCGCACAGCGCAGAAATTCGCACCCTTCCGACTCAGGACTCATAAGAAGCAGAGGCAAATGCGTCAAATTCGGGGCACCGGTTTGTTTGCCTAATGATGCTGGGAAGTCCGGCCCAAAAGAGAACCTTTGGTTTTCATCCATAGAAGGAGGTGCATCCAGATCGAGGCCTTCACTGCACCTGCAGCTGCATCGCCTGCTGCTGCCGGCGAGGCCGTGGCACCACCGCCGCCACCTGTCTCAGTTGGAAAAATGGGAAAGGGGAAGCTCTCCTGAACCCAAACGTGCAAGATGGAGCCTCCTCCACCACAGGCCGCAAATTTGCCAAACCCAGCTGAAATGAGCTCGTGAACCTTGGGCAGGGAGCAGATTTCTGGCAGGCGAGGGCAGAAGAGTACACCGCAGAATGGCAGCACAAAACTCTCACACGTTATCCGGCCTGCTTGCCCTGCATCCGCTTGCAGGCCTCATCAATGAGCTCATCTTCATAGCCTGAGTTTGGTAGGTCTTTAAGACTTGCACCCCGCAGAGTCTCCAGACAAAGGCGCTAATGCCACCGGCTTCCAGAATGGTCTTGATGTCCTGGAAAAGCTCAGGAAGGGCATGCATCCCCCTCTAAGCATATGTGAACTCCCTGGTCCTTGGCATCTGGGGCCTCCTTCCCACCCAGGACGGCCATCAAGTAGGCACCGAGGTATTTCATCGCCATGGCGCTGGGCAGAGCAAGAGGGGCAAGGGGTGTCTGGAGCCCTTGCAGCGGCGTTTTTCAAGCTGGCTCCATCTGGACCTGGCAGAGCAAAAGGCCAAAACAGCTGAAGCTTGCGAAAAGCAAACGGATCATGAGCCGGCCCCTTTTTGGGCAGGGGCCAGGATCCTGATCTTCAGGATCTTGCCCTGCCTGCCTCTGCAACTTCAAGGCAAAGCTGGGCAGCTCTTTCCGTGCCACCGGCCTGCTCAAGCTCCTTCATTGCAGATTGCGCTGCGCTAGCAAACTTGGACCGTTCCGTCCCAAGCATTTCTTGAAGACCCTGCGCTATGGCGGCTTCGTAGTTGGAGATGACCTGGACAAACAGTTGGCACCATTGCTGTCATCACCACCCTTTAGACACGCACATCGCACAGCAGTGCAGTCACCACCCTTTAGACACGCGCATCGCACACATGCAAGCACGGCAGCAAACGTTCAGGTCGGCAAAACACTACCAGCTAGACTTCACCACCCTTTAGGGTTTAGGGTTTGGGGTAGTCAACAGTTGCTATTGCTGGTTCACTGCTGCAAGTCTCCTCCATGCCTGAAGATGACAGCACCAAGACGGAAAAATGAGAGAGGATAGAGCAAATTGTGGCTAGCACATCAACCTTAGGGCCTTAAGGGGTGTCTTTATAAAGACTCGTTTGGACATGTATCCTGTGCCCACCTCGCCAGAACCATCCTCTTGCTTCTTTGGCCTGTCGACTTTGAGACCCAGCCCCATCTGCTCGGCCTGCGCCAAAAGATGTGACGGAACTGGGGATGTCTATGAGGGTCCCAGTCAGAAAAAGCAATTCATGACATGTTGTGATGCTCAGCCACATCCATAGGAAGGTGGAGCAAAAGTAAGATTAGCAAAGCCTTGGTTCCCGCGTAAGAATACCAGGCAAAGCGAGGGCAAGATTGAGTAGAAATGTTTGGGGCCCTCAAATTCGTGCCACCCACTCGATGCTGCCGTGCGTGGAAATCTAGTTCAACCTACCAGACCACATCAAGCCTCACGCTATTTCCAATGCACCCAGGATGCGGATGATCCAGATCCACGTTGAATTTTAATCCAAGATGCCTGCACATGCTTGAACCTTAATGACTAAAACTCCAACCCCAACACTCAGACCCTAGAAGTGGAGCCTCTCTCCGAGCTCAAGCAAAGCGGTCGGTCCCAAAGCGCCAGCGCTTGCCTTACTACTCGACCTTAAAAGCCCAGAAGGCCTTAGCAGCAGTAGCCAGCTGGTCGCCAAAGCCAGGACACACCAACATTGGAGTGCCGACCTTGGGCGGGCGCAGGAAGTTGAGGGCTTGTGAGAGGGTTCTGTAGGGGTTGTAACGTTACGGAGTGTATGACGGCATGACGGGTCATTGATGGCTTGATTGCCAAACTGCGACTTGATACACTTCCTGTGTGCATGGTCTTCGGAGTGGGTCTGTGTGCTGAAAGCAACTCATCTGGTTGTCTGTTTCAAGTTGGTGTTCAGGCTCCTTGGTTCTGGATGCCGTCTCTTTTTCATCACAAGATACCTAGGAATGGAAAATCAAAAGACCTGCGAACGCCCAACTGGAGCTCAAGACAACCGCGCGTTTGTTGGGAAGCCTTACATGGACCGGAAGCCAAGAAGCCGTCAACGACTCCATGAAGGAGTTCTGACCTGCAGCAGGGGGGGGGGTTACTACTTTGGTATAAGGGACTGATGAACTGCCTGGGAAGTACCTCTGCGCCTGACTTCAAGCCTGCAACCCAATGTTAGAGCCACCACAGGCTTCTTCAAACCGAAGCTTGTCGGGGCCCTCCGGCACCTCTGCGAATGACTTCCCCTTGAAGGACCACGATCTAAATGCAGCACCGGATCACCCAACATACGCCCCACTCGACCAACATCCACAACTTGTTGATCCGCCTCCGTGCGTGACGAAAAGGACAGGTCTCGCTCTGCGCAAGAGCTCCACCTCAGGGGTTGGTGGCACATGAGGGTCTTCAGATCAGCGGGATTCTCATCATAAACGCCTCCCTGCACAAGCAACTCACAAAGTCTTGAACCTCCGACCCCACACGCCCCCCTTTCATACATGTACTTCCTGACCTGCGGCAAACTCGGAGCACAAATGCCATTGTCTGGCACCTGGATGCCTTCCAGGGCATCTGGTTGCACACCTCCGACAAAAAAGGCTGCATCAGATGTTACCACTACCAGATGGAAGCATTCAAGAAACAAGTCGAATAGGTTTCTTTTATCCTGCGAAGTCAAACCTAGAGCTCCAAAGCTGAGATTGTTCAGGAGCAAGGGGTGATGCGGCTGCTGGATACCTTTGACTTGCCTGCCTCAAGGTGACCCAGCAGCGCAGAGAAAGAATGAACCTTAAGAATACTTACTATTTTTATGATGACTGTTGTTATGATGGTTACCGCTCGTATCATTCTTACTAGCATTACTATTGTTGCTATGGTTGCTACTGTAACTACTCTTGCTATCATTGCTATTCACTACTCTTACCATCATTCATGCCAAGAATGGCCCGGCCTGTTGAAACAACGATCAGGGGAGCTGGATTCATCAGCTTTGTCGAAGCCAGCTCTGCAAAGACTGCTCGGTACACCGCCTGGCACAGCTCCTTCCTTAGCCGTGTTGCTGTTACGGAACTTAAATTAAGTTACTATAACAAGGAAGCCCTACTATCTACTATATTCCCATGCTGTGGTAACTTTAATTTAGTTCCCTGACAGCAAACCAGTTAAAGCAGCTCTTGGGCCCAAGCAAGGTCTTCATGACTTGCTTACAAGCTGCTTCATTCTGATCGGCCACACCCTACGCGCTATGCAGATAAATGGCTGGGAGTCTGCTCAGCAAACGTTTAGTGGCAGCGTTTTAACAGATGAAAATATGATGCTTTTGTTCGGAAAGTCTTTCGTGATTCCAACTAAAACCAATACTTGGGATGCTCGGCCCTTAGTCCAAAACCCTGAAGCCCAGCCACAAAACAGGACGCCATTTTATGCATCTGAGCTCTCTCAGGCTTTGCACCGCAGTGGGTCACTGCATCATCCGGCACTGCTGGCTGAAAGGGGATCTGCAGAAACCACCCCATGCTAGATAAAAGTGTTCAACAGCAAACTGATGCTGCGGCAGCGGCTGACGCAGCACTAAGCCCTTGACTCGGCCGGAACCCCAAACCTGAAACCTTCAGCTCAGGCAGGGCACCCTGTCATCGCGCTTCCTGCAGTACCAGACCACCCGAATTCGCTGTGGCTGCCCGTGAGAGCTGTCCCAAGAGATACATACACCACCTGGGAATTGGCCAAGCTCTTCTTCGCTAGGGTTCCGATGGTTTGAAGCGCCTACGTTTCCTGCAGTACGCCTCCGACTAGCTGTCAAGGTATGCCAGTGTGCGAGCGTCAAGGCCTGAACGAGAGGTGGGCGCAATATGTAACCCCCATATAATCCCCACAAAAACCCATATGATCCCCCCTATAATGCATATACTATACTCCTCATGCTCCCTCAGGGGGACTTTAGTCGGTAAATTTCATCATCTCCCAAGAACTGAACAGGAAGTCCCTGCCTCCTGGCCACTCCCCACAGCTGCATCCACTCTACTGAAAACATCTCCGGACCTTTGGGGGCTTCTGGGTTTACTGCGGTAGGTTTGGGGGCCTATAGAATTTCAGTTTTCATGGCTTATGAGGATAATATAAGGTTTAAGGATAGTCGGAAATAAGAATATGTTCAACCCTACCCCTGTTTAGGGTTTCACGTCCTGGCAGAAACCCAACATCCCAGCTGGGCATCCCATGATTAAACCTCTTTGGAGTTGCTTTCCTACTTGTCGCAACATCTTCAAATGGAAGACAAGCAAAGCGCACATCTGCAAAAATTAGGCAGCCGGTATTCGATTTGAAGTCCGTCTTCTCTCTGGAGCTGCAAAATCCTGGTATGCTGGAGAAAGTCAACTTGGATTTTCGGCCACCTTCCTGCATCGGCCGCCCGACTTTTCCCCGTCTACCGATGACAGCTCTTCTGTCTCATACCGATGTGTCCAACCCAGCCCAAGAGAACCCATCCGGAGCAGGCTACTTTGCAGGACACAGCATCTCTTTGCTACTCTTTGGCCAGATGATGCCCACTGAAGAACTGGCGAACATATCACTCAGCTGGAAGGCTACAGGTACACCCCACCTTAACATCCACCATGATATGTCCCCACCATTGACTCTGGTCCCAGGAGCTTGGAATCCCGGGGAGAGGGATCCAGCAGCGGTCCCACGAATTCGAACGTCTTGCCTGCAGCCTCGTAGAATTCGGCATCCTTCCTTGCTGTACGAAAGGGGGCTGCTCTGAACGTTGTCTTTACTGAGGGATCCTTAGACTTTGGAATAAGGACTATTGATCATTGAAGCTGGGTTCTGCTTGGGATTCTTCGGTGTCCTTACAGTGTTGTAGCTGGGAATTGAAAGGGCACCAGGTTGCTTTTTTGGGATCCTTGCAATGGGGGGATGTCTACGGCCTACTGGACGCTGTTTGTGAGAGATAATTACCCATCACCAGCACTACGCCCACTATCATATTAAGATGACATGACGGTTGTTACATTTTTGTTTTGCAGCTATCAAGATGACTGTTCTCCTGTTCCTTTTGCCACTCTGCTTTGCTTGTACTGGCTGATCTCTTTCCATGCGAGTAGGTCCAGGTGCCGCACACAACTGATGCATTACCGGAAGAGTCAGCTGCCTTTGACCCCAAATTGGAAGACACTGACCTGGCTGAGCTCTTTGTAAGAGACATCCGCTACCTGTTTCTGGTACACATAGCGTACACATAGCTATAGAGCTGGCATAGTCCTAAAGAAGACATGAAAGTACAGGGAACACGTCGGAAACACTGAATGTGCGCATCCTCGGTGCTCGTTCAGCTTGTCGGCGAGACAGGGGACGGTGGTCACCAGGTTTACAGCAGTGTAATACTCATGGACCAGCGGCTCGGCCTGAGTTGTAGCCTCTGTTTCATGCATGGCTGTTTCCCCTCCTCGGTCAAATTGGTAGATTCCAAAACTAGCCCGAACCAAGGGGATTCCTTGCCTAAGGGCTCCGGAGAAGCCAATTACAATGCCCGTAAGAACCCAACACTGCAACAGTCGTTGCCAGAAACCGCTATGTGATCCCTGCATAGGTCTCGGAGCAACAATCAATGTTTCCCGTACACTCAATGGACATGAGACTATACTAAACTACCAAAAAGACCCATATGTCCACCCTGGATAGTCATAAGCCGAAGATTGACAGTAGTTCATCTCAGCAACAGTGTTCAGTGACAGCTCCGGCCGATGCAGGATCTTACGAACGCCTTCAATCGCCGCAGCGTTGGCAGCATTTGCCTTGATAGCCTCCACCTTGGGCTCCCATTGAGTAATGTAGGGGCGTAAATGCGGCGTACATATGACAGCAGTATTAGTGGTTCAAGAGTACTTTGAAGAAATTGTCTTGGAAATCATCCTGGCCTCTAAGATGCCTCCTGAAGCATTGCTGCGATTCTTCTCCATCTTACGGTTCTTCCTCCAACTGCCACTGCACTGCTCCGCTTATTTGCTGCAATGACGACCTCCTACTCCTACTCTTACTCTTACTCTTACTCTTACTCTTACTCTCACTCTCACTCCTACTCCTACTCCTACTACTCCTACTCCTACGCCTCCTACTACTACTCTACTACTACTACTACTACTACTACTACTGCTACTGCTACTGCTACTGCTACTGCTACTGCTACTGCTACTACTACTTCTACTACTACTACTACTACTACTACTATTACTACCACCACTACCACTACCACTACCACTACCACTACCACTACCACTACCACTACTACTACTACTACTACTACTACTACT